TGATCGAAGCAATGTATGACAAAATCAAAGCTAATATTTTACTGAATTGAGTAAAACTGAAAGCTTTTCCTGTTAGTATTGGAAACAGACAAGGTTGTCCTCTGTCACCATTGCTATTCAACATAGTGCTGGAAGTTCTAGCCAATACAATTAGGCAAGAGAAGGAAATAAAGGGCATCCAAATGGGAGCAGAGGAGGTCAAACTCTCCCTCTTTGCTGATCATAATATTATCTTATATTTAGAGAAACCCAAAGACTCAACCACAATATTCCTGGAAGTCATCAAAAAATACAATAATGTCTCAGGATATAAAATCAATGTAAGGGTCAGTAGCCTTTGTATACGACAATAACATTCAAGATGAGAGGCTAATTAAGGACACTCCCTTCACCATAGCTTCAAAGAAAATGAAGTACCTAGTAATATACCTAACCTAACAAAAGAGATAAAGGACTTCTATAAAGAAAGCTATGAAATCCTAAGAAAGGAAATAGCAGAGGATATTAACAAATGGAAGAACATACCATGCTCATAGCTGGGAAGAATCAACATTGTTAAAATGTGTATACTTACCAAAGCAATCTACAGATTCAATGCCATCCCTATTAAAATACCAACATCATACTTTCAGGACTTGGAAAAAATGATTCTGCGTTGTGTATGGAACCCCCAAAAACCCCCCTGTATAGCTAAGGAAGTTCTTAATAATAAAAATAAAGCTGGGGGCATCAGCACACCAGATTTCAGGCTATACTACAAAGCCATAGTGGTCAGGACAGCATGGTACTAAAATAAAAATAGATACACAGACATTTAGAATCAAATAGAAAACTAGGAAATGAAACTAACATCTTACAACCACCTAATCTTCGATAAACCAAACAAGAACATACACTGGGGGAAAGACTCCCTATTCAACAAATGATGCTGGGAGAACTGGATATCCACATGTAAAAGACTGAAACTGGATCCACACCTTTCTCCACTCACAAAAATTGATTCAAGATGGATAAAGGACTGAAATTTAAGGCATGAAACAATAAAAATCCTCAAGGAAAGCATAGGAAAAACACTGGAAAGACTTCAATGAAGAAGACTGCTATGGCAATTGTAACAACAAAAATAAACAAATGGGACTTAATTAAACTGAAAAGCTTCTGTACAGCTAATGAGACAACAACCAAAGCAAATAGACAACCTACACAATGGGAAAGGATATTTGCATATTTTGAATCAGTAGAGAATTCAAATTAATCCACATGAAAAAAAGCCAACAATGGCATGTATCAAGCAATGGACAAGAAACATGAATAGAATTTTCTCTAAAGAAGACAGACCAATGGTTAACAAACATATGAAAAAAATGCTCACCATCCCTAATTATTAGAGAAATGCAAATCAAAACTACCCTGAGATACTATCTAACCCCAGCAAGAATGACCCACATCACAAAATCTCAAAACTACAGGAGAGAAAGGAACATCATTACACTGCTGGTGGGACTGCAAACTAATACAACCTTTTTGGAAGGAAGTATGGAGAACTCTCAAAGAACTCAAGCTAGGCCATTTGATCCTGCAATCCTATTGCTGGGCATCTACCCAGAAGGAAAAAAATCCTTTTATCATAAGGACACTTGCACTAGACTATTTACCACAGCTCAATTTACAATCACCAAGATGTGAAAACAATGTAAATGCCCACTAACTCAGGAATGGATTAACAAACTGTGGTATATGTATACCATGGAATACTATTCAGCCATTTAAAAAATGGAAAATTTACAGCCTTTGTATTAACCTGGGTGGAAGTGGAACACATTATTCTTAGTAAAGCATCACTAGAATTGAGAAGCATGACTCCTTTGTACTCAGTTTTGATATGAGGACAATTAATGACAATTAGTGACACAGTGGGGGTGGGGGAAGGGGAGAGCAGAGAGTGAAAGAAGGAGGGGAAGGTGAGTTCTTGGTGTGTGCCACACCTTTTGGGGGCAAGACATGATTCTAAGAGAGACTTTACCTAACAAATGCAATCAGTGTAACCTGGTTTCTTGTACCCTCAATGAATCCCCAACAATAAAAAAACAAAAATCCTTTCAAATTTAATTAAAAAAAAAAATAAAGCAAAATAAAAACATTTTTGGACATGCAGAGAAAAATACCAAATTAGTCATTCATGTAAAATATTTGAAAACATTATTCATATTGCCAGTCACTGTGGCTCACACCTAGAATCCTAGCACTCTGGGAGGCTGAAGCAGGTGGATTGTTTGAACTCAGGAGTTCAAGACCAGTCTGAGCAAGAGTGAGACCCCATCTCTAATAAAAACAGAAAAACTAGCTGAGTGTTGTGGTGGATTCCTATAGTCCTAGAAACTCAGGAGGCTCACTTGAGCCCAAGCATTTGAAGCTACTATAAGTTATGACACCACCACATTACCAAGGGTGACAGAGTGAGACTCTTTCTCAAAAAATATATATATTTCTCTAGAAAATAAACTTTTTATTTATTCATGATTCTAATCATAATATGTGATCATCAGATAACATATATAATTATAGTACAAAACTATATTTATTTATTCATTCATTCATTCATTTAGAGGCAGAATCTTACCCTGTTGCCCTGGGTAGAGTACCATGGCATCATAGTTCACAGAAACCTCAAGCTCTTGGGTTCAGGAGATCCTCTTGCCTTGAGCCTCCCAAACAACTGGGACTACACGCGCCTGCCACAACTCTCAGCTAGTTTTTCTATTTTTGTAGAGAAGGGATCTCATTCTTGCTCAGGCTGGTCTCAAACTCCTGAGCTCAGGCAATCTGCCCACCTCAGACTCCCAGAGTGCTAGGATTATAGGCATGAGCCACCATGCCCAGTGATTATTGATTTTCAATGTTTACAATCAACATATAAGCATAGAAAAACAATTGTTTAAAAATAGAATGTAAATGTCACAAACTTTGCCAATGTTAAGAAAGTAATATAAGTGATTAAAATTGAGAGGTGTAAAAGAAAATTGGAAGGGAAGATATAATAATTTCCTTACCTGTCATAGCACTGGGTCATTAGTTATTACAGGGTGTCCCAAAAGTCATCATACATAAGGAACCTGGGAAACTTTAGTTAAATGTACCTTTATTTACAAAATATTCATTATAAAATATTTTTAAAATATTCTTTACAAGTTGGCCACCGCTTTATAAAATTTTATAATGAATATTTTGTAAATAAATGTAGATTAGCTGTAATTTCTCAGTTTCTCCATGCCTGGCAACTTCTGAGACACCCTATATTTAAAATTGCTAAATCAAGAAATAAAAACATATATTATATATACGCTATTAATGCTGATAACAAGAATTAGATCCAGGAACTTAAGAGTGTTTGAAGTGTGGGACAGGGTGTGGGAGAATGTCAATACAAGAGTTATTTTTAATTTATATCCTTTCAATGGCTTTTGTGTTTGTATATTTTTTTTTCTATAAATTAGTTACTAGTATAGGCTGGGCATGGTGGCTTGCATCTGTAATTCCACCACTCTGGGAGGCCAAAGTGGGTGGATTTCTTGAGCACAGAAGTTTGAAAACAACCTAAGCAGGAGCAAGACCATGTTTCTACTGAAAATAGAAAACCTAGCAGGGCATTGTGGCAGGTACCTTGAAGTTCTAGCTACTTGGGAGGCTGAAGCAAAAGGATCTCTTGAGTCCAAGAGTTTAAGGTTGCTGTGAGCTATCACGCCTCAGCATTCTACCCACACCTGGGTGACAGAGTGAGACTCTGTCTCAATAAATAAATAAATACATAAATAAGTAAAATAGTTACTAGCATACAAAAATTTAAATTTTATATATTCAGTGGAATATCATGCATTTGTTTTAAACAGTCAAGGTAGAAGTGTACTGACATGAACAGACTCTCATAAGTAAAAAAAATGTACAACAGCACATATAAATAAAAAGTATATGTATATAAATATATAACATATATCTAAATAAAATGTATATAAAGAAGTATGTCCATATAAATATTTGTATATTAATTAAAACTATATCTGTAAAATTTGTTAATAGTTATGTCTATAGGTTTGGGGGTGAGGTAGATCTTACTTTAAAATGTATAAGCATATAATGCTTATATAATAATAATAATGACAAAGAAGTACTGTGATAAATATTTAGGAAGATGTCCATGATATGTTGTAAAATGAAAAATTTAAGTTGTGAACCAATATGTATATAGCACAATGTTGTTTTTTCAAATAAAATGCTGTGATATATACATAAATAGATTTGTTAAAGCTTAAGAAACATCAAGAAGGATAAGCATGAAATTATTAACAATTACCTTTGTTATATAAAAGGGTAAAAGAGCAAAATTAAAGCTCATATATTATGCAACTTAAAAATACACATCATGAGCTGGGCATAGTGGCTTGGGCATGTAAAACCAGCTACTTGGTTAGCTGAGGTGGGAAGATAACTTAAGGTCAGGATTTCAAGACCAGCCTGGGCAACATAGCAAGACCCTATCTCTTAAAAATTAAAAATTAAAATTAAAAATAGAACAAGTCATGGAATTAATGGATGATTTTTAGTTTCCCTTTTAGTTTTCAAATAATTTAAAGCCTCCCAAACATGTTTAAATTAAAACCATAAAATTTACGGTGAAGGAAAGTAATAACAGACATTTTAAATGGAAATCTACAAGTATATTCTCCTACCCACTAAAACAATCTATGAATCAGTTTCTGTTCTGTCATTAATACAAACATAGACATTGTTCACAAGTTCCTAGCTAATTCACCAGAGGACTCGCTTACCAAATGGAGAAGTTCTGGACACCTATAGCCTAAGTCATGGCCTTCTTGAATACCTGTGACTTTAGAATCTTGTGTCATAGGCAATTTTGGTTCAAAGGACAGAATTCTGTAAGAGAAGGCATTTCTTTAAAATCATAAGCAAAGAGCAAGAAATTGGTTAGAAGGAATGATACTTACATGTAAACACAATTCGCTGGGTACAGAAGTTATCACATTCAGGTCCCTTTTGAACACTGATACGTTATCAGGCTGACTCATAGCCACACTGGACAGAATCTTAGCTCCTGTCTGTTGGAAACTACAGGATTGTGTAAGGCTGTCTTGAATTCCACAGTGACTGATGGCTATGACTTCTGGCACTGGACAGGAGAGTGTATCTTCAGCAGAGGAAGAAAATGAAGAGTCTATGCTTTGGGTATCCTTCTGACTCTCAGGATTGATGCTAGAGATGCTGTGCTCCTGATAGAGCAAGTTTCTTAATTTTTCATCCAGAGTTTTAATTCGGTTGTCTGCAAACTCCATTTTTGGAGGTCTTTCTCCATCTGATTCCAAGACAGTAGTGGGCAGAAAAGTAGTTGATTCAAGGCCAGGGGTCAGAGTGGGAATAACTGTCTTAAGAGAACTTGCTTCAGTGTTTGATGTGGTTTCCCCCGCTTGGGGAAAAAACTCTGCATCCATAGTTGGCTGTTGTACTAATATGGATTGAGGCTTTTGATCAGATTGAAATGTCGGAATAGGAGGAAAGTTACCAGAAATCTGAGTTGATTCACCAGGATGGGCCATAACTACATCAACCTGACTGGCAGCTTGGTGACTTGAATACACAGGTACGAATAAGTCTGCTTGGTTGGTGAGTCCCTCACATTCAACTGGAACAGCATAAACTGAAGTAGAAGAATTACTGGAACTTGTAGTAACTGCCATTATTTGCCTGTTAGCTTCCACTTGATTAAGTATAGCTGGCTGCTCAGTATCTACACTAGTACATTCAGAAATTTTACCATCAACTACATCCTTGTGCTCTGATTTGGAGGTGAAAAGTGCACGCTGACATGGATTATTTTCTACAGTGAGCAGTACATCCTGTGATATTTCTTTGTTACTTGTGTTTCTTGGACCTGGAACAGTAACAAAGAGTGGCTAAGCATGTATTGATGGGTACAAAGCATGGACCAGTACCCAAACTTAAAAGTGACAGGAGAAGCAAGAGATAAATGAGAACCTGTATGAAAGTATTCTTGGCTGGCTACCATGTCCCATGTCTGTAATCTCAGTACTTTGGGATGCTAAGGAGAAAAGATCACTTGAGGCCAAGAGTTTGAGACTAGCTTAGGCAATATAGCAAGATCCCCTCTCCACAAAAAAACAAAAATAAAGAAAAATTAACTGGGCATGGTGGCATGTGCCTGTAGTCCCAGTTTCTTGGGAGGCTGACACAAAAGGATCACTTGAGCCCAGGAGTTTAAGGCTGTAATGAACCATGACAATGCCACTGTACTCCAGCCAGGGTGACAGAGTGAGACCCTCACTCTAAAAAGAAAAAGAAAAGTACTATTGTAAACAAGACTCAAGATACACAGAATTCAAATCAACCTGTCAAGTAAAAAAATAAAAACAACTTTATTTTTCCCCGTTAAGTATTAAATAAAATGGCTTAAGTTATACCCTAATATTAATGACTTTAATATGTTTATGAATGTTCTCATAAGCATAAAATACCCACAGCAATCAGCTAAAGACGTAGTATATGTTTTGCAACCCTATCCTTTGAGTCTGGATAAAGCTGGCAGTGAATAAAAGCTTACTAAGAAGTGGGTGTAGACCAGGAACAGCAGACGTGGAATGCTGAAGAGAAGGAGGAGACTGAGCCTCACGATTTCTTATTGTTTGATTGATACAAAATCGCCACCGACCAACTGGAGATGACTGAGGAGCAGATTCATCTGCAGAAAGAATTAGCAAAAACTTAATATGTTCAGCAATTGTCAATTTGATTACTTTATTTACTAAGGAAGCCAGGTTAAAAAACAACTTGGCTTTTATCTCCATATCCAATAGTACTAGGATATATGTAATTTATGAGACCAGAGCTCCCAATCCTGACAAAAAATCTAAAGAACAAAGCACACAGTATCTTTAGAGAAGGATTTTAGAGTCTCCAAAAATACGTATTGTTATTTTTTCCACTGAGACCTTCATCTTCTGTTCCATATCTTGATTATAGTGGTGCTTACATAAATCTGTAAATGCATTAAAATTCACAGAACTGTACACCAAAAGAAAAGTCAATTATGCTGTATGATATTTTTTTAAATTAACTAAAATAAGCCTCTATATCTTAACTCCTACTTCATAAACTTACCCAGATAAGCAATTCTCTTTTAAACTTTACCCTACTTTGTCAGTTAGAAAACTTCTCAGGTCTCAGCTAACCAGAAAAACAAGATATAGGACTCTGGCATTCTAACCCAGTCTAACTAAAATTTAGGATGATATTATCTGGTCCTATTACTCCCACACCACCTTTTGATTCCTCAAGTTGTTATAATTCCTTCACAGGTCCTTGTTTGTCTACACTCATAATACACCCATGACTGGAGCTGAGTAGACTGGAGAAATAGAGTGATCAGAAAAGAAATTGGAAGACCGTAGGTTTATTCTCTGTATGTTTACCCATTATCTTATTTACAAAAAGGTATTAGTGACCAGAGCAAGTAGAAGCATATCATTGGAGAAATGAAGTCAAGACATGAATGAGTTTTAACATACGAGGCAAACTTAGAATCTAATAATCTTTTTAAAATAGTTTCTATCCATTTCATATCAGGAAAAAAAAAAAAAAAACTCTTCCCACTTAGTTTCAAACAGTTATGCTGTTAAAGGTCATCAGTATGCCACTGCTTTTATGGTAACATACCATGTGACAACCCAGAAATGAATTTATCAAATAAAGAATCAACACTTGGAGGAAATTTGAAGGATGGATTTTAACTTCTGGTTTATTATGTCCTTTCAAAATGTGGAAAAACCTACATTAACAACTTATCAAATCACATTATTGGCTAACATCTTTCCCAATTAAAGTGTGTAAATTAAAATTTCCAAATACTTTACTTCAAAAGCCAAATGGTAAATTTTATTAAATATACTTACTGCTGGTTTGAGTGGATGCAGAATTTATCTGTACTTGTTCAGATGATCCTGTCTGAATTAAAAATGAATAGATAAATAAACAAGTTCTTGATACATATCTGAGAAGACCTATTTTCTATCCAATTGCTCTTACTTGGCTACTGTTGGATTCCACAGTAATAGAGTCAACTCCAGTGGTTCTTTCTGAAGCAGAGTAGACATGAAGAATCTCCTGCGCTTGACCTACGACAGTCCCCAATTCTTCTACAAATTTTTCTTTCTCACTTTCCAGCACAAAGTTATCTTCAACCTGCCCAAAAGTAAGGCTACTCATGAGAATGAATTTTGTTTCTTCAGAATTATAATATTGTATCCATGGTGACTACCATAAAGAAAAAAATTGAAATTGACTATCTAAATCTAAGTGCCATAACAGAATTAACAAGGATCATAAAGTGCTACATAAGACATTATTCTATTTTGAGATCACAGACATTTGTGAGATTAGCACACTTACCAGAGAAGAACTTAGCATTTAAAAAAATATTCAGGACTGGGTGCAGTGGCTCATGCCTGTAATCCAAGCACTCTGGGAGACCAAGGTGGGTGGCCTGATTCAGCTCAGGAGTTGAAAATCAGTCTGAGCAAGACCTCATTTCTACTAAAAATAGAAAAACTAGCCATGTGTGGTGGCACCTATAGTCCCAGCTACTTGGGAGGCCAAGGCAAGAGGATTCCTTGAGCCCAAGAGTTTGAGGTTGCGGTGAGCTATGATGATGCCATGGCTCTCTACCCAGGTGGGCAGAGTAAGACTCTGTCTCAAAAAAAAAAAAAAAATTCGGCTTTCTATATATTGGTTGTTATTTGAAGAATATAACTGAGGCAATGTTTAAAACTAAGATATTCAAACCCAAAACCTTTTAAATCACAAATCAGAAAATAAAACCTGTCCAAAGTTAATAAAGAATGGTCTGAAAAGAGTTGTAATTAGTATTAGAAAATACTATGGTAAACAAGATAAAATGATTAACTTCTAAAATGTTTAATTCTGTTTGGCTAGGAATGTGTATACAAAGAAAGTTGGTGGAAACAAAAGCATTATATAGTCTTCCTCTTACCCTAGTCCCATACCCATGAGAAAAAGGGGAAAAATACTAAACTGAGCATTACAATTCATAGAAAATATAAAAAACTTAATGAAATGATGAATATAACTTGAACACCTATATATAAGATGTTAGATCAGTGGCTGACACATTAGAATTGCTTGGGGAACTTCAAAAATTATTGTTGTTCAACCCTCATCTCCAAAGTTTCTGCTTTAAGCAGGGGCCCAGGGAATAGAATTGTTTTCAAAATGCTTATTGGGTGATTTCAACATGCAGCCAGAGATAGGAACTATTGAACTAGAACATCTCTAATAAAACCCCCTTATATTTTCTAGATAAATATACTTAAACCAGAGTAGATACAATGACTTACCCTTGATAATAACTGGTTTAGCTCTGTACAAATTTTTAAAATTGCACATGTTAAAACATGCTGGCTGTGAATAAATGAAGGGGAATTGGGGGGGGGAAGAGATATACAATATTAATGGGAAAGTAATTTGGTTTTACATGTACTATACTTACCATATAGTCTGCAATATCCTCTGGTGCATCACCATCAACATCAAACTTGAAGGTAACCATCTTGTTGTTGTGTGTCTCCAGTTGACACTCCACCATGTTGTCTCCAGAGGTTGACACCTGAGTACAAACATTTCACCAGGTTAAGAGTCAGTCACTGTCTTCTCTTTGCAAAGTGCGCAGGAAACATGTAAATTTGTTCACATACAATATATACAGAAAATGGTTCATAGGCAAAACTTATTTCAGAATCTAAAAAAATTCTGTTTTCCTTTAGTAAAATACCACCAAAACAGCCATTTGATAACAAATATAACAGGTTCGAATTACACAATAAAAACTAAGTTAGAAATATGATCCTCTGATAAAGAAAATGGAACATAACTTTTATAAAAAGGCAAAAGTTACAATGGTCATTATAGCTATCTGCAATGCAAATATCTAAATATAGTCATTTTTTCCAAAATTATCTTAATCCTACAAATTGACTCTAAGCAAAAGAAAAGAGGCATAGCTAATAGAAATGTAAACTGGCAAAACCTTTCTGAACAGCAACCTAGCAACATGTACCTAGACACTATAAAAATTTTCATATTCTTTGACACGTAATTTTATTCCTATGGATCATGATAAGGAAATAATCAGGGATAGATAAAGATTTATATTCAAGGATGTTTGCTGTATAGAATAAAAGACAGAAAACAAAAGAGCAGGGAATATAGTAAGTTAGAAAAAGGACAGACTAGCAGAAAGACAGGACAAACAAAAAGAACCTAAATGAAGACCAATAAAGGGAATGATAAAATTATCATGTCTATACAAGGGACTACATAATGCAGCCATTTAAAATTATGTGTTACTGAAAAATTACTTAGGGATTAAAAAAAATACATGAAATCATGTTTTTTAAAAGGCAGAATATAAAATTGTATGTAGGTTTAGCATCCATCTAAAAATATACATCATACTGGTTAGAGATATGGGCTTTACAGTCAGATCCAAACTGACTATCACTTGCTAGTTGAGTGACATTAAGCAAATTACTTCACTTTGATCTTCAGTATCCTCATTTGTTTGTGTTTTTCTGTTTTGTTTTGTTTTTTGTTTGTCTGTGTTTTTTAGAGATGAGGTCTCAATATGTCTAGAACTCTTGGTCTCAAGGGATCTTCCTGCAATGGTTTTCCAAAGTGCTGGGATTACAAGTGTCAGCCACTGTGCACAGCCAGTATCCTCATTTGTAAAGATGTATATATATTGCCACCTATCATGTAAGGTTATTGAAGGATTATATGATAAAACAAATGGATAATATTTAGGGTGTCTACCACAAAAGAATTCAATAAATTTTTGCTACTATTACTAGTATCATTACAATCTAATAATGTAAAACACTACATATACATACAGGAAAAAGAGGAAAACCATACTAGAACATTAATAAGAGCTATCTCTGAATTGTAGTTACAAGTGAATTTTATTTTTTTCCTTATATTTCTCCTGTATTTCCCAAGCTTAACACATAACACCCTTATCAGAAAAAACAAAACAAAACAAAACAAAACATTTTTTTTTTGAGACAGAGTCTCACTTTGTTGCCCTTGGTAGAATGCCATGGCATCATAGCTTACAGCAACTATAAACCCTTGAGCCCAAGTGATTCTCTTGTCTCGGCCTTCTGAGTACCTGGGACTACAGGTGCCCAAACTATTTTTTTTTCTAAGAGATGGGTCTCGCTATTCCTCAGGCTAGCCTCAAACCCATGAGCTCAGGAAATCCACCCACCTCAGCCTCCCAGAGTGCAAAGATTACAGGGGTGAGCCACCATGCTTGGCATTATCAGAAATTTTTCAATGGAGGAAAAGTTAGTTTAGTGGGTTTCACAATATTCTACACTTCTGCAGCATACACTCTTTATCAAAACACACCACTACATGTACTCTTTTTTTTTTATTGAATGGTAACTATGTACATTAGTGCACTTCTGGGGTACAGTGTGGGGTTTTCACACACAATCTGAAACACTTCCATCAAACTGGTTAACATAGCCTTCATGTCATTTTCTTAGTTATTATTTTAAGACTAAGATTTTTTAACTTGTGAAGTTAAAGGGGAAAGTAACTCAGGCTAGAGGAAGTGCCCTCCTATCTCCCTAACGTAGTAATTATCAGGCTTAAAGGAGAAAATGTGTAGGAAACACTTTTTATAAAGAGTTGTACATTTTTGTAGCCGCAGACTGGTAGGACTGGAAAAATAAGATGATGTCTCCAGGAAAACGTATTTAATCTTCATTTATAGATGAGGAAACTGCAAAGCCAAAAGCTTGTGCCCAAGCTCGCCACAGCTAATGAGCAATAGAGAGAGGATTTGCGCTCGGGCCTGGGTGGCTCCAACCCATGAAGTTAGTCACCGAGCCAAACCACCTCCCTTTAACAAATCCTGAACCACCAGGGTGAGGAGTGC